TACCTCTAATAGGGGAAAACTGGAAAACATGGCACATTCTCCAACTCACTTAAAATACATTAATAGCTTAGTGGTAGCATCTTGGATTTAAAAAAGCAATGGCATTCATCGTCCAGGAGACAAGTGAGTGGAGAGAAGGGCGCTTTATAGACTCTCTCTGAAGAAGTTGGTCAAGAATGACCAAACACTGTACAGTTTTCAAGACAGAAATAATTTATGAGAGCAAAGCTAAAAATCCTTTTCCTTATCAAAATTTTTTAAAGTTCAGGGAGGGTATAGCTTAGTGGTAGAGTGCATGCTTAACATGCACGAGGTCCTGGGTTCAATCCCCAGTACCTCCATTCAAAAAAAATAAACTAACAAACAAATAAACTTAATTACCTCTCACCCTCCCAAAAACATAAAATAAAAAATTTAAAGTGCGTATCCATGTATTACCTGATTCCTTTCTCATTTTGATTTATGATCAGGATTTCAAAGCCTGGAATGTAAATGACTTAGCTAAAAATCATTATTGAACTTCTAAAATTCCACTCAGAACAACTACCCAAAATGAAACCTCTTCTATATGAAGTACTTGAGCAAAACCAAGTTAGAATTTCCATGGAAACAGTCTGGAACTCTTGAAGGAGAAGCGAGGACACAAGAAAGTATGAAAATGCATGTATGTATTTTTTGGTTCCTCTTTACCACTGCCCCTCCAAACCTTAGGCTGTCATTTTAATGAACACTTTCAAGCCTCAGAGGGAATTAAGAAGAACAATATTTGATGGGAGTGAGGAAAGAGCTAAATATATTTCCCCTGTGAGAGAAATATATTCCATCATCTTCTCATCTCCCCTTCCCTCTGCTATCTGGGCGATCTTTCCATCTTTCACTATTAGTTCTGTGCCACTCTAGCTGTACAGCTAGTTTAGCTGTGACTTGGGACAGAAAAAAGATACCATCATGAGATAATTTTGTCCTCTTTCGGAAGGGTCCTTTCATACGAGACAACTGAGGTCAGTTTTCAAATTAATATTGTGTATTTTCCCACCATGTAATTTTCATTTGCCAATAGTTCAGAATTCCTAAAATGCTCTTGGATCAGGTAACTCATTTGATCAGTACAATCTGAAAGGGAAACAGAGCCATTAGGTTGGGTTCTATCAACTCCCACATTACCAGTTTAGAGGGCTTACCCTGCTGGTAAGTAAAGAAACCAGGACTCTGGCCAGCTCTTTGCATCTCAGACCATTGCTTTCTCCAACTCTACAAATACGACTAGCCTCGTGACCAGTGTAGACACAGTATCATGGCTACTCTCTCCTCTTTAGTAGGTATTAAGAACTTTTATTTATTTACTTTTAGAAATACAGCTTTAGTTTTATAAAGTAAAAATCTTGCTCTAATTGCTCATATTGATATTAGTATAAGATCAGCAAATACCTCCAAGAAAGGCATAGTCAGGGTTAGGTGGACTTTTGGCTTCCCTGAGTATGGCTATTTTGGACAAGCTTTTCCCAGAACTGTCTGACCTATTTTTAATCGATAAATCAAATAATGTTTCATTTTAAAGCTCAGCAATCAATATATGACTTATGGAGGACAAAAGTGACCTTTCATAAATCCGAAACATTGAATGTAGAACACGTCTTCTGGAATAAAATAATCATTGCTGCAATGACTGAATTAAGTAGCTTAGAAATTATTTTACTGATCCAAGATAAAACCTCGGGGCACAATAATATCTCTCCCTAGGGATAAGGTGGTATCTATTTATCTTTGGAAAATTAAAGGCAGTTAAAGTTGGAGAATGTGATGGCTCTAAATAGGATGATAGCTGTCATAAAGAAGAAAATGTGATGCAATCTGTTATAACTTTCTGCTACTTGTAGTTTTTAAAAACTCTTGGAATTCAGTAAAAGAAATTATACCATTGGTTTGGGCAATATTAAGACCAAAGGAGCAATAGACAACACATTCCATAATTAATTTACCATATACACTTTGACAATCAATATGACATATTCATTTGATGTTCTAATACACACCTTATTAGATATTGCCACATCATTGTGGACTGAAATTTAAAAATGGAAACATACTAATAGGTGATTTCCTCCTTGGTTAGATTTTGCTATACAGCATTACAACTACTAGCAGGAATCATTTATCTAGAGTTTACTATACACTTGACTCTGTGTCAAGTAGTTGGTATACTTTATTTTATTTACTATTTAAATAACTAGGATAAGATTAGATATTACCGTCCCAATATTATAGATGAGAAATCAATAAAAACCTCACCCTAGAAGTGGATTACAAAAAGCAATGTGTCCCATGCATATAGCTAGAACACGGTAGAGGCTAGCACCAAACCTCAGTTTACCTGTGAAGTTTACCTGTGAGGTTTGTCAAACCTCAGTTTCTGTGTTTCTCCAGCTTCCAACCGACTGTGCCCCTCTACAGCCCACTTCTTCCAAGCCATCTTCCAGTAACCAATTATCCATGAATAGTCCTTTAAGGCTCACTGTTGGAGGAAGACCTCTGTCATTCACTAAACATAAGGCAGATACTGAGTTATTGAAATTTACTTAAAAGGTATAAAAACGGGGCATCTGGGGAGCTTTCTCCTCACTGAAAATGTTACCTATAAATTATGGCCGTTAATTCTAGTTAAAGGGAAAACTCATTACACCTTTATGATAAAATCAGAAACAAGCAGTGCAACAGAAGTTTTTAAAAATTATATTTAATACAAGTGAATAGATTAGAAGATCTGAAATGTTATAAAGCAATATACACAATGAATAAATAATTTGCACAGGAGAGTCATGTCTACATTACATAATACTGTCTAGTATGGGAATACTTAAATCCAGTGATAATGGAGAAAGTCCATAAAAATGCTAACCTGTCTTCCCTTGTATGAAATTGTTCAAGTATAAAAATCCAATACAGTGTAAAATAGTATTCAATTTAGTTTTAGAATAAAAATTGCAAGTATTGCAGTTTCAGAAGAAAAATGTAAAGCAGCATTTAGAAAACTACATAAACTATGTAAGGGTGTTAAACTAATGAAGTACCCATAAATGAGTTACACAAGCAAAAATCGGAGAAGGAAGCGTGAAACTAGCAATAGATCCTGTTTAAAAAAACCTAAAGCCTAAAATAAACTAAAATGTGTTAATGTAAGAGTACTCTCTTATACAGTGCACATATGAATTTAAATAAATCCAAGTCAACATCTTTAGTTGAATAGGTTAATATTTAATATGCTACATCTAGACCTACTAAATAATTTATGCCATGAGATGAATACATAATTTTACAGTGTCACATCTAAAGTTCCTTTCTTTAGAGTGCAGCATAGTAAAACTTAAAAATAAATATCTTAAATAGCATTACTATTAAGGCACAGTATAAACCACATTATCATTAACCTTTGAAGAATTGTAATCTCAGTAACCTTGTTGTCTCATGTACTGTATTCACTAATAAATAGTCTTAAATATGACTCTGAAATAGATACTAAAAAGTGTAAAATTATTTAAAAAGGGAACAAAAAATAAATGTCCTTAAGACAGTTCTTAAGGGTTTAGAGTCTGCAAACTTTGCCTGCCTTTAATCATAAGCCACGAGTCGACACAATAAATAGAAAGAGAAGGCTGTTGTAGGAAAAGCCTGATCCTATTTCAGAATCAGAATTGCTGACACCAGCAGATACAAGTTTCCCAAAATTGAAACAGGATGGGGAGAGGGATTAGAATGTGACAAGCTCATCACACAAGCACAAGTGATGTGTTCTTTCCAGAACTGTGTGTGTTATTGATTGTCTGTACAGCTGTTGCACCCATTCATTTCCACATCACTTGTTTCACAGTCCCACTCATCCACTGCGTAGATGAGAAAATAGCTTTGGTGCCTGTCCACTATTTCACCCACTGCCACGCTCCTAGATTGATTGTTCGATGCCCATTTTTCAAAGAGTAAGAACACTACCTTCTTACCTCAAAAAGTTCTCCAGGCCATAGTGACTGCGAAAAATGACAATCAGTGCTTTCACCATTTTTTTTAAAAATCTGATTTTAAATGTAATTCAAGCTACATATTGCTCACTCTGTATTCCCTGGTTCAACTGGATTCAAATAGCATTTTCTAACTTGTAAAAGGCAGTTTGCTTCCCTGATACTATAAAAAGAGCAAAAATAAAAATCCCATTTATAAAAGTGAAGTTCCATTGTTACTCCTGCCGGCATTTCGTAGCGGCCTTTCAGTTACTCAGGCTCTTTGGGTTTGATTTCCAAAACTGCGCCCACTCCCCCTCACTCTCATCTCTTTCACATCTAGAACCCTACTGGAGTATTAAAAATAATAATAATAATTCTGCTTCACAATAGCATAGCTTTTTTTTTAAAGCTGTTAAGT